TAGTGGAAACATTACTGGTGTTCAAAGGGGAGGAAGTGTTTGGGATAAATCCGTCAGCACATTGACAGTAATCCTGCCCTGCAAGTGTATTTGATTCAGGTTAAGAGAAACAGCAGTGAAAGACTAGCAGAATGCCACGCTTTAAAGCATCAAAAATACTTTCTTTTAATTTTTGTATCTGCCTCAGAAGACATTGCATTGCATGTGCTCCCTCTTCTCCGCTCTCTTTCTCTTTTCCTGAGGTGGTCAGCAATTTATTTCCTGCTGACCTCCTGCTGAATTATTTGTTTCAGCTGTACAAGTGTCCGCAGCAAATATTCCTGTGAAGGAGGGGCCAGTCAATCAAAGAGACTTGTTTGTGGCTGATGGTACTGGAGAACTTAAAAAAATGTTTGTGCAAGTCTTGATTGTCTCTGGTTGCTGTAGAGTCTGATATGCGACTTCACGTGAGCACAGACACTCCCAAGGGCTGCTCTGGAGCGTGCCGGTGCAGATTTTGACTAGCATGCAGGCTCTTCCTCACTGCTGGTGAAAATGCACAGCTAATGGTGGAGACTATGTTAAAAGATAGATAGCATTCTGTAGCTGAGAATGTGCTCTATCAAATAGTGTTATTGTGCTCCTTGTATGCACTGCAGTTCCCATGGCAATAAATAGGAAAAGTTACTTTCGGAGCAGGCTACATATATTTGAGATAGATAGCTAGATTCTTCAAAGTCCATCAGTGTTTCAGTTCTGGAAGCCAATGTGTTAAAGACACGCACATTTTGCTGCTTACTGCCTGAAATAATGTAGTGGTAGTGGAAATGCTGAGTCACAGCCTGAACCACTGATGGAGCACCTGCTGGGAAGGCAGGGCCAACCAGGAGAGGAGAACTCAGGTGCAACCAATCTGCCAGATCTCATTTAAGGGTTGGCAGTGGAGAGGAGGGTTTGTAAGGCAGAGACCCCTGCTTATCTCAGGGCCTTACAGGCCCTCTGAAGGTAAGCATACCTTCATTTCAAAGGAGAAAGAAGAATTGGGTTTGGGAATGCAGGTATCAGTTTTGCTGCTTTGCATTGGATTTTCTTTCTGTAAGTTTCAATTGTGGTGCTAGTAAATAACAATTATAGTGCTAGCTGAGACAGAGTTAATAGTGTACAGGTGGTTTGGTCCTTGCAGAATAAGGAATGCATGTTACTAGCTGTCTCTTTCTTGAGTTTCTTCACTTCTATACTTCAGCTGTGCCAGCTGAAGCTTACTGTAACTCCAGAAGTAGCAGCCCAGGGCCCACATTCCTGCCACTTCCTCTGTCTCTTTTCCATAGAAGAAGAGGATAAACTTGTTTGCATCTTTTAGCAAGTCAATTGTTCGAGTACTACAAGTTTCCCCATAGTTTTGACAGTGATTTAGTATCCACATCCTTGCTAGAACAACAAAAACACAGAGATATTCAGAGAGCAAAGCCAATCAGCTGGCAAGGTTTATGCATAGACTGCCTTCTAAAAATGGGAGATACTGACTTATCTACCTTCCAGACTGAAAATCACCTTGGAGATAAATATATGAGCTAGAAAGTTCTGCAACTAGAGCATTGGTATACTTAGATTTGGGTAGTCCCAACTGAGCCTTCAGTTTGTCTTTGACAGAACAGTTTCTTTAAGAGGAAAAATTATTCAGAGACAATAGACAGATTGCTACCTCCAGTAAGATCAGCAGTTGACAGGATCTGTTTGCCTCAACTGCAAGCACAAAATGACTGAGGTAGGAAGGGGCTGCCGGTACAGAACTCACTTGTTGACTGAGAGAGAAGGGAGGGAATCCAGATGGTCTTTCTAGTGAAATCACATCCTATTTGCAGAGTCACAGGTGTTTCAACCTGGATTATATAACATTTTCAGTGTTTTGGTTTTCTATTTTTTCCTGTTACTTGTATTTTGTTTGGGCTTTTTGAGCTTCATTTCTAAAGTAGGGAAACATACTTTCCTTAGAGAAAATATGCCAGAATGTTGAAGGTGGTTCTGTTTAAATAGGTTTTTATCTGTTCCTATGGACTTTGCTTTCATACACCCTACATGACATGAGAAGTGATTACCTGTGTGTGAAGAGTAACACTTAATTCAAACTTACAAACTAACTTTATGTTGAGTTCTTCTCCACGAGTCTCATTTACACACTTTTTTTTAATGCAAATCAGTAGCACAACCACACAGACCCTAAACTGCACATAAGGAATGAATAAAAGGCATTAAAATGAATCAGATCAGTCGATGCTGTACTAGATGAAGCTACAAGAAGAAAACATTATGAGAAATGTTTCTTCAGCTCAAGAAAGCAATGATCAGCAGTTCAACAGAGCAAAGATTGACACTTCACTTCGATCATTGAAGTTTCAAGGCCAACAAGAAGGAGTACAGGCAGAGGTTTAAAAGCATTAGTTTCTAGACTCTGCATGGTTAGCAACAGCTTCAGAAGACAAGCTGGGAAATGAGTAGATGCTGAATGCAATTCTTCCAGTAATGCAGCCTATGCTGGGGTGGTCTGAGTTGACAGGGGCAGTACCTAGAAACAACTAGGATTTTTTCAGGGAGTTTTTCCCTTCTCAGTAACATGGCTCACTTTTAATTCAACTTTCTCATTCAGAGTCTTTTTTCTACTTCAATGATATGAATTTATAGGCTTCTCCTGAAAAAATACTAATACTTCTGAAAGGTTGAAAATGAGCAACAGTAATTGTGCTCGTGTCTTTCATGCGCTGTCATCCCAACACAACTCCACTGGAATCGTGGCAGCTTTTCTGTTGAGAAGATAGCGCCAGTCTCTGGAGAACTCCAGAATGTTAAAACTGATAGATTTCACAAGCAACCACAGCAGCCTTGTCCTTCCTAAAACCTACTAGCATAAAGATTTCAAGAGGGTACATGTAGCTCTGTATGCTTTGCAGCGCAAAATAGTTTGGTGTCGGTAAATTAGAGATGCAGTGTGGGCTTCCATTCCAACTGCATCATTAGTCCCACCTACAGCACTCAGTATGCTTCCACTGCACTGTGCAACTTCAACATCCAAACTGGCTGCTGAATTCACACAACATGTAGTGATGTTGCTCTGGACTGTGGGCATGGGGAAAAACAAAATGTATGCTTCAGAAAACCAACTACAAGTGCAAAGAAACAATGGAGTAAGCTCAAGGAATGTATTGCATAAGAGCACAAGTGAGGAGAATCATTTACTCCATTTTCAGGTGAGGTTTATTTCAGATTACTGGGCTGTAGAGAGAAAAGAGCTGAACTACCAGCTTTGAGTGTTATCATATTTATGGTAGGAAGAAGCAGCATTAAGGCACTTATTGAGGTTGATTAAACACGTGGAGAAGTGCATAACCCCTATGAGTGCAAACATAATACTGCAATATTACGTCATTGGATAAAACAACAGGTAAAGATAACTTCTGCACCACAGCTGCTAAAACTGCATTTATTTTCTGTTTGCAATACTGTGGCCTAAGGACATAAAGAGTTGTACTTTTAATGAGGGTTAAGCTGGGTACAACTGGAAGTCAAGCATTAAATGTTTCCTTTGCCATATATATATATACATATATATATGTATATATATATATATTTTGCAGAGAGTGATGATAAAGGTGCCCAAAATTAGGTAAAAAGGAAAAAATGCTCGGGGCAGAAATAAAGCTACTCTGAAGGCCAGATACTGAAAATCTGATGGGTAAGGCAGAAAAAAAATCACCTTTTCTTATGGAAATGTCTGCCAGTATTCAGTAAGGAATGATCTGCCTTCTCTCTTAATACTACACGAGCCAAGAAAACTTCCTACCCCACCATGCAGTGTACTCCAAATTATGCTGTGCTCTGCTGGTATATCCTTTAGGTTATATAAACCTCAGCTAAGTACAGAGGACTGTGGGATTTATGAAAATTACATCCAAGGAGGATTCTTTTTATGTTGGTGAGAGCTTATCTGAAAAGTGTACTTATGCAAACACTGACCTGAACAGTAAGTGCTACTATTCATCTGTGGTAGCAATGCAGATGCTCAAAAGGAATGAGTAATTTAACCCAGAGCACACACAGCAAGCAGGCTCATCCCTTGTCAAGTTTTGTGTCTGAGGTTTTCTTTGAAGTACAGATTGTATGCAGATGTCCTGGCAACTAGGAAGCCCCTCTGCTGTTTGAGAACTGGAACAGATCTCAAATATATGTAGATCTTGAATTAGCTCTCATTGCCAATCAAATGCTAAGGTCAGATATTCAATCAGAAATACATAATCACAGTAACTGGGGTTACTCAAGGAACTTCAGTTTTATGCTGTATTAATTTAGATGTGAATGCGACTGTTATGTGAAATCCTGTTGGCACCCACTGGGCAGCACTCACTGGTTTTTACAGAAATATTTGGTTCCATGTGCCCCACAGGCAACTGCTTATCCAGTTTAAGGTATGCTGAAGGTTGACCTTGTTCTGCAAGCATGCTTTGCCCTGCCCTCATCACATTGTCTGTGATGCTGTTCCTTCAGGTCACAAGCCAGTATTTAGAAAGTATGCTGTGGCATGAATATGGGAAACCACTTTTGGTGTGCTTAAGCTTGGAGGAACACATTAGAGACAGAGAGAGGAAAAGTAAATAATAAGGGCTGTCACTTTTCACTGAACTGTTTAAAGGAAGCTTGTGGTACTGGGTTCATGGTGGCTTTTTAATTTTTCTTGCTTTTCTTTTTTTTTTTTGCATCCAGCCAAAGAGATTTTCTTTTAGTTTTGTCCTTGATTGTGCCAAACTGCTGGCAAATCTTCTGCCTTGTTATACAAAGAACTTTTTACAGCACTCAAACTAGCACAGCCTTTTCCAGCATACATCCCTCCTCCTTCTGAGGAGGAGAGTGAAACTTAGTTCTTAATGTCTCTGAAATTCAGTTGGAGCTGCTGCTTTTTGCAGTGTTCCTGCGAGCATGGAGCACTGCTGTATCACCACACTGCACAGCAGAAAGTCACCACCACTCAGACCTGTACCAGCATTTTGTTTATTGCCAAGGAGACATTCTTTTCAGCATTTATCTATAGTTCTACATTTTATATGACAGGTCTTGTTTTATAAAGCAAATGCCACAATGTCACAGTGTAGTCAAGACTGGCAAATACTGACTTTTTTTATTTGTTTTTTTCTATCAGAGGTTTACATTTTAGCACCTTTGAAACACCTGTGAGACTGGTAACTTCAGTGCTTTGCTATTTCTAGAATGCCAGTAACTGTTTATCCTCCAGGCAGTATTGCTTCCATTGCTGATAGAGCCCTGTGTTACTTCAATAGATGCTGACAAATTTGCAGCATACTTGGACTGCCAAGAAAAACACAGGTAAACAAGACAAAACAAAGTCCAGGCCGGCATACACACCCCAGTGAGCAATACAGGCAGGCTGTTAATAATAGGAGAGAAGAAAGCTGAGGTACTTAACACTTCTGCCTCTTTCTTTACTGTCAGCTGCTCCTCACCGCCCCCCTGAGTGCAGCGGCTGAAAGGTGAGGACTGCATCCCTCCCACCGTAAGCAAAGATCAGCTTCGCAGCCACTTGAGGAACCTGGCGGGTCCCAACGAAACGCATCGCAGAGCCTTCAGAGAATCGGTGTACGCAGCTGCCAAGCCACTCTCGATGGGATTTCAGGAGTCAGGGCACTCGAGTGAAGTCCTCGTGGTGGCTGGAAAAAGGGTGATGTCCTGCTGATTTCTAAGAGGAGTATAAAGGAGGACTTAAGAAACTGCCAGCCTGTCAGCCTTGTCTCCATACTGGAGGAGATCATGGAACAGATCCTCCCAGAATGCATGCTATGGCACACATAGGAGAGAAATGAAATGAGACCAACCTAGCTTCAACAAGGGTGGATCCCACCTGAACAATCTACTCGCCTTTCTTCCTATGACAGCGTGAGCAGACCAGGCAAGAGCTGCTGCTGTCAACTGTCTGGATTTCAGTAAGGCTTTTGACACTGTCCCCCACAACAACCTTCTCTCCAGCACTGCAAAGATTTGATGGCCAGGCTGTTCAGCGGATGAGGAAAACAAATCAATGCCTAGAAGCCAAACAGCGATGATGTTCTTTAATACCTTCATCAGCGACACCAAGAGTGGGATCAGCTGTATCCTCAGCAAGTTTGAAGGTGACACCACACTGCCCAAAGCAGCTAATGCATGTGAGGAAGAGGATGCAATCCAAAGAGACCCAGGCAAGCTCAAGAAGTAAGCACAGAGTATTTTTGTCATTCATGTTAGAGCTCAGCCTCAGCTGGGGACAAAGATTCACAATAACTAACTTCCCAAGATTCCACACAAAAGGGTTTTGCCAAGAAACACTAGTTCAGATTATCTAGGAAGAAACCAGAGAGTGCTCAGTGAACTCATCTTAAGAAAGGAAGAGTCTTTTTTTCTCCTGCAAGACAGTTGCTGCCATTCCCCTCTCCAGCCAGCTCATCCACCTTTGAGCTCAAGAAACTTCTATCCAGAAATACAGCTGCAAAGATACAGACATCGGCACCACAGCAGGTGACTTCATTCAGTGAGTAAAGCCAGTCTGACACTTACAAGTTACTTACTGCAGAAATGCAAGTATTTGTTACTAAGCCTATGAAGTGTTTCTTTCACAGAGCTTGCAGTGCCAAACAACCGATTGTTTATGGAATCATTTTTCTCCCTTCTCGTGTTACCCACAAAACAAGATCAGCAGCAAGGGAACAAGGCTCAAGCACAGGAATAGACACCGCATCCTTTTCTTTTGGAGGTAAGCAAGGATTTACTGTTGTTTTCAGTCACAGACAGGCAGGTATCCACTTCACCACAAGAACTGGAGCTAGCTGAGCCTAGCCATTCCATTTTAGCACAGATATTCATAGGCGTTCCAGTTCTCACACACAACACAGGGCATTCACATCTGCAGTAGAAAGTCATTGCAAAAAGCCTCCATAGGCCAATAATTCTTCCACAAAAAGGGAATTATCATCAGTGGCTTTCTATCTCACAGAAGCAAGCTTAGTTACCAACATTTTGGGGGCACATGTTGAAATGAGAACAATTATATTTAAAGACCTTCTCTCATTTCTTGCCAAAGTGAAACTGAAGCAATAGACTTCTCAAAGTAGGAGACTTAGCTTTTCACTATACATTTAGACAACTTAAAGTCACCTGCCCAGTGATTCAATTGGGTGCATTTTAGAGGAAGCATGCTCTTAAATACTGAGTAAAACCTTACCCACAAGAGAGTTTTATACATTTTCATATAATAATTGAGCTGGCCTCAGAGAGCACTCTCAAAAGGAGCTTCCATGAGCATTTTCACTTTATTTTCCTTTTAGACCAATCTCCAAGAGGAGATGGTAACAAAGGAAGAAAATTGCTGCTCTGTGACTTCTTTGCTCTCTCAGCCTATTTAGCCTGTTGATATTGTAAGCCAGCCATAGCATATGCAGGACATACACTGAGACACCACAGGAGCACTTCACTTCTATCCACTTACCCAAACCCTGTTAAGAGCAAAATGCCCCCACACCCCTCCAGGCACATTAAATTACTACAGAGCAAGCACCCTCCCATGTCAGTTTCAAACAGGTTTTACCTGGGGCTTGAAATAAACTGAGTTTTCTCCTTCAGCAGGATACAGAACCCAACTCCATCTCCTACCTTCAGGACTGGGAAAACCACCACAGAGCAGCCATCACCACACAGGACCCACTCCAGGATCCAGGGATAAGACCCCCAGATAGGCAGGAGAGGGATGGGGGGCAGATAGGCAGGAGAGGGATGGGGGGCAGATAGGCAGGAGAGGGATGGGGGGCAGATAGGCAGGAGAGGGATGGGGGGCAGATAGGCAGGAGAGGGGCAGGAGAGGGGGGGAGCCCAGATAGGCAGGAGAGGGGGGAGGCCAGGGAGGGTGGGGGGCAGGAGAGGGGGGAGGCAGAAGGGGGGGAGGCCAGGGAGGGTGGGGGGCAGGAGGCAGCCAGGGCAGGAAAAATTTCCATTACTGACCTGCACCCACCCCCCACCCAAAAAAAAATAATCTCTTTAGAGATAGTGCAATTTTCAGTCAACAGCCCCATACCAAGGGGGGAGAGGGCAGCCTGCACACCTAAGTGTGCAGGCTGCCCTCTCCCCCCAAAAAAACTTAAATAATATAAGCCATGAATAAAAGATTTGTCAGACAAAAAAAAACCAAACCACCACAAAAAAAAAACCAAGACACCACAAAAAAAAACTTAGAAGACACCTAGACAAAAAAAAAAACCAAGACACCACAAAAAAAAACTTAGAAGACACCCAGACAAAAAAAAAAACCAAGACACCACAAAAAAAAACTTAGAAGACACCTAGACAAAAAAAAAAACCAAGACACCACAAAAAAAAACTTAGAAGACACCCAGACAAAAAAAAAAACCAAGACACCACAAAAAAAAACTTAGAAGACACCTAGACAAAAAAAAAAACCAAGACACCACAAAAAAAAACTTAGAAGACACCTAGACAAAAAAAAAAACCAAACCACCACAAAAAAAAACTTAGAAGACACCCAGACAAAAAAAAAAACCAAACCACCACAAAAAAAAACTTAGAAGACACCCAGACAAAAAAAAAAACCAAGACACCACAAAAAAAAAACTTAGAAGACACCTAGACAAAAAAAACCAAGACACCACAAAAAAAAACTTAGAAGACACCCAGACAAAAAAAAAACCAAGACACCACAAAAAAAAACTTAGAAGACACCCAGACAAAAAACAAAACTTAGGCCAAACAAGTCACCACACCAAAGAATAATAGAAAAGCTTACCTTTTTCCAGGCTTACAGGGAAGACTCCAAGAGATCCTTCCACACTCACAGTCAGCTCTTCAATCGATCTCGGAGAGGTGCAGCCAGGCTCCACCCCTTCCAGGAGGGCAGCTGAATTGCCTTTCGCTGTGCTCATGTAGGCAGTCAGAGGTTCAGACCATCATTCAGCAGTTCCCATACACTAACCAACCTCTACCTCTACACCCACTAAAGGGATCCCAACAGGGGCTCCCAGGTCAAAGGACTACACAGACACCCACCGAGGAGACTGACTGCCTACCCAACACACCACTACAAACAGTGCCTACCTGGGGGCTCTCCTCTGCTCCTTCCATGGGTGCAGCATGCCTGCCAGCCGAGGACAGGGACTTTCCTCTCAGGATGCCTGCTGCAACACAACCTAAAGTAAAAACACACGTTGGCCAAGGTGGACCTCACCAAGCTCCCCGCAGGAAACAGGTGACAGAATCCTGCAGGCTGCGCTTCTCCCTTCAGTCTGTCAATTCCATTCTTCCGGCAGTAGAGCCAACACACACACCTTGAAGACTCAAAAAAGAAACCACACACCCCAACAGCCTTAAACAAAAACTTGTGTCCCCTGGCACCCGATCCCAGCTGGAAACTCCAGCCCGGAGGCAACACGCACAGATCAGGCACCAGAGGACACCGCTTACCTCACCAGCACGATCCTCGCTCCGGCCCTGGACACGCAGGAGAGCTCCGTGAACCGCTTCTCAGAGGACGCTGGGGGAGGGCAGCTCTCGGGTCGCTCACCGCCGATGAAACCGCTCCCATGCTCAAGCGGATCCTCGCTGCTAAATGCTCGGTTGCGGCACTCGCCCTGCGACGATGTCGTCCAGGGCCGTTTCCCGGTTACACATCACCCGGAACAGCATCCGGAGGCAACCTGCAATCCCCCGGAGAAGGAGACTCCGCAGCCTATTCTATCACTCTCGCAGCACAAGCAGTCTTACTTCTGACGTTCCGGTCTGTGAATGTTTCCACCTCACGCCTCCTGTCGGTGCCTGAATGAGCCCGTCGTCACCGTCAGCAAGACTCCTGCACTTCAGATAATTACCGACAGTAAGATATTTCCCCCATACCATCCACAGCCCTCCTCTCGTCTAACCAGTCACAACACAGAAGGCTACCTCCTTGGTCTAGCATCACTTCTCCTCACCGAATTCACTGTGACTACTTCGAAATTTTTGCTCATCAGGTCACTTGCAGCTGTCACCTAGACTCAAGCTTTCCCATCATGTCGTGGAAGCTCAGTACGTTCCAGTTCTCTCACCGGAAGAGAAACTCACCACCTCACCCTTTGTCTCTCCTATAAGGAACGCAGCCATCCACAACAGCGTTTCAGTCATGAAACGCTCTCTCCCACCACGTCTTCATGACGGGAGTGAGATCAGGCTCCTGAAGCTACAAATAAGTGAGGGGGGGGGAAGGAATATATCGTCTCATCCGGCTCGCTCCCACCGCTGGAAGCAGAAGGAGCTGAAGCACCCGCAAAACCCTTCTTGAGCAGTTCGGGGGCGGCGCCGTGCTGATCCCAAAGAGGCGTCCGAGCGGTGGCCCTATACGAGCCCCAGCAAGAGAGAACTTACCTAGTGACTCCCAAACACTCACCGCTTCCGCCTTCTCACCGGGTCGGGATGACGAGAGGTTCTGCTGCAACCTCCGCTCAGCCTGCAATAGAAAATTCGTTTCAGCAGCCCTTCCCGTTGCTTCTCGTTCCCAGCACAGAGGCTGGAGGAACGCGGCCCCATCCCGCTCGCTCCTACCGATAAGACCGGGAGAAACTGAAGTCCCGCTAAAAAGCCCCAGAGGGACTGAGAGCCCTCAGGACCGCGTTGGCACTCGGAGAACCGAGCGGCAGCTCCCTCCGAAAACGCGACGGCAGCCGGGTGGCGATGCGACACGGGCTTCGAGAAGCCGGGGCAGCCCTGCGGGAGCCCCGTGCCGGCCCGCGAACGGAGCCCGGCGAGAGCGGACGGACCCGAGCGCCGGCCGCCTCCGCGGTCCCGTTGCCGCCAGAATGATTCACCGGTTCGCTCTGATCTTTACCGGTAGTCGGCTCGCCGCAACCTGAAACAAAACAACAAACAGAGAAGGTTACAAAGAATCCCAAGGTCCGGTTTTAAGAGCAGCCCCTCGCGGTGCTTTGCAGCCCCGGCGGCGTAAGCACCGGACAACAGAAACGGAACCCGCTCCGGCTCCCACGGACGATGCACTCCGGCAGCCCTCTCGTGGCTCCCAGAGGCCTCCGGCGGAGCTTAAGAGGCCTTGGGGCGGACCCGCCCCGCGCTGCGAACGAGGCGCAGCTGTGCTCCGGAGGCCGCGGCCCCTCGGCAGCTGGGAGTCGTTGCCTCGTTAGCGCCGGTGGGGCTCGTTAGGGCCGGCCGGGGAATCTGACAGTTAGACACGTGGACTCTAGATCTGAGTTAAGGACTTTAACTGCACTTTCTATTAAAGTTTGTTACGCGCTTCTCCTCACCTCACTGTGAGATTCACTAATAATTTAAATGATAGTTTCACATTCAAATGGATCACTTTGCATCTCACCTGACGCCCTTTCAAAGAACATCTTCAGCCTTAACAGTTTCCAGAGGCCCCTGCTGCGTGCTGTCTTTGCTCTGCTTCCCCTCTCCCGTTGTCCAAAAATAAATAAATAAATAAATAAATAAATAAATAAATAAATAAATAAATGTAAAACTTTGTACCTGACAGAGAAAACGTGACAAGGCAACAGTGGAAATGTGGGAGTGGCAATCCAACAAACCCCCAAATGGGTGAATGATGCACATGGGAAAATTGCTGTCCAGTGGAAATCAGAAGCGGAGCTTCACCAACGGTTCTGTATGGTACAACTCCTCGGCTTATAAAGGAATTATTTACATGTGTCCCTTGCTTTGAGAACCTGCTGTCTGCAAATGGGCATGTCTGCTCAAAGGAAAAAGGTGCCAGGTATAGAATCTGACCGAGAGGCCTGAAGAAGTTGCCCATGGATTCCTCTCAAACCTCTTGGTGCCTACAAATCACCGTGTGATTCAAAGCTGCCAAAAGCTGTGGTGAATAAAACAGAAAGGGCAAGCTATCGAGAAGGTACAGAAGGGGCCTGAGAGCCTTCATGTGCTAATGTGGGATGAAAAAGGCCAGAGCTGTGATCTTAGGGCATCCTCCTTCAGCTTGTGCTGATACTCCCCATACTGAGGAGAACGGGGGAGGTCTGGGATGGGCTCCCACTGGATGACAAGACAGCAACTTTATCCTGAACTGCAGCTACAAAGCAATCCTCACGTTTTGTCTTTGGCAGCCAGCGATCTGCCCCGACGATGCAGTGACAAAGTGCAGAAGGGCTCCGGACTCATCTTGCATGTGCACATCTCCATCCACACGCTGTGCTACAGCGTCAGATTGTTGTTTTTCTTTCTGTACACATGCTCTAATTGTATTATACTGGCAAAGGAGAGTTAGAACTGTGGATGTATTCACTCATTGCTTAATGATGCTTGCATAATTGGTGACATGCGGGATCTAAATGAAGATTACATGCAGTATGCTGTTTGTCTAATGAGAAATTTAAACTGCATATTTTCGTGGTGCATCGTGTGATTGCTAGGAAGGCTGGAATTAGTGAAATTCCTACGTGGTTGAGAGAAGGGCTTTCTGTCATTTTGTGTTCATAAAGATAAAATTTGATTTAAAAAGCTCACGTTTCTTTTCATGGAGGTACGAGAGTTAAGGACTCTGGAATGTACCTAGCGTCGATCTAAACAAGAGTTACTAAAAGCTCAGGAATCGTTGTCTTGCAGAAAGTGGAACCTCTCATCCGTGATAAATTATAAATATTGCACTATCTGTACAAAAGGGAGTTCTTAATGGTGTCTGCTTATTCAAGACCCTTGCAAACCTACAAATAACCCACAACCTGCTTTTAATTGAAGACTTTTTTCCTCAGACACTGCAGGTACACGCTGGCTGGATTTGTTATATTCTGAAGTTATTTTAACTCGCTGTAGACTTCTGCATGTGAAGTAAGGCCCAGGAAAGTCAGAAACACTGACTCTTCTTCCCTGAAGCAATGCTTAATAGCCCAGCCTGTAAGATGCTGCTTGCGCCCTTAGAAACAAGTCTGAAAAAATCTGTGTATTTTCAGCTGTAATCATTAAGCCTTAGCATTCCTCAAAGGAAAAGGAAGCGAACCAGCTTTCCTCTGCTAACAACACAGAATTCTCAGTCATTTGGTGGCATCAACTCTCAGAGCTGCCCTAAACTAAACCCCTACAATTCAGCTTCACAGAAGGTTTCAGAACTGCTTTTTAGATTAAGTCGCGAGGAAAAAAAACACTGGGAGAGTATTTAACATTTAAATAGGTTTTAGGTTTTGACTCCCATCCCTTGAAGGATCTATGTTTATAGGGCTTATGATGGAATGTCAGTCTCAGCCTTAACTGCAGAGCAAATACATACGAGCTCCTCACAGTGATGCTGCTGTGTAATCTTTTCCTCTGAAGCGTTCTGTCTTGCTGCAGATACCCATGAAAGCATATAGGTGGATGCGCAGGCCATGAGGTACAGATTATGTGTAAGAGCAGTAGAAGCTGCTGCCCACGAAGACTTAACAGAATGAGATACTTTTGCAAGCGCTTAATAGTATCTAGTCGTTAAAGGGAAGTCATTAAATCTCTACCCTGCAATTTGGATATTGCAAATCACACTCGGGGAAGCTGCATTGTGCTGCTAAGAAATAAATACAGAAGATTCAGACGCATAGTGACCATATTTTTGAACATGAGCTAGATGGCAACGTGCAGCTTTTAATAAGGAGGCCGAAGAAATTACAAGTTGCTAAAATCCAAGGACAACTAGGCATTCCATTTTGCCAGCCATGCTTTTCTCTGCCAACATCAGTAAAAATGGCATTCTGTGATGCTTCCTTTTAGCGTAAGCAGAAGTGTCTGTGAAAACAAACCCAATGAAATAGTCAGCAATAAAATGATAAAGTCACTAAATAATGCATTTTTGTTTGGTTCTAGAGGCTGGCTTGTGTGAAATTCTTTGGAGGTGAAGTGCAAACTATTATTTTGTCTATGGTGCATTCCTGGGGAAACACGGCTATGAGAACGCTATAGTTCACAATGAAAGCAGTTCATTTCTCAGCTTGAATTATGCATATTCTTCAGTAGGTGGCCTTCTTCCTTCTTCAGTGGTACAGAATCTGCAGCCTGGCATAGTGCTACTGGGCGCTTTGCTGCTTGATGTGCCCTCCTTCAGAAGACAGACCGAAAGCAAGGCCTCTTTCCTTTCTGATTTTGAAGGCTCTTAAAGCAATTTTTTCTCCCCTACATTTTGCTTTGCGCAGTTTTAATTTAATACTGTGTTCTTCTTCTCTTCCTTCCTGCCCTCCATTGTTTTGTGACGTTGCTGAGCACTGTAAATGACCACCGTATTTCCTCTGAGGCAGCTGCATTTAACAGGGGAGTGAGGTGAAGCCTGCAAACACACTTTGTGAACCATTCCCAGAGAAAGAAACGCAAGATCACTTGCAATTGTTACACGCCGATACACCTGGACAAACTCCAGCTTTTCTGCACCCCTGCCGTCTCTCCTCGAGAGAGCATGAGGCTCGTGCTTGAGAGATCTTTCTGGGCAGGCTGTTGGCTTTTATCCTTTGTCTGAGAACCTGAGTCGCCACAAGCAACCTTCCTCCACAACAGTATCAGTTAATTAGCTGCAGTGCAGGCGGGTTTGTCTATGGCTGCCTTCTGTCTGTATCATCCCTCTTTCAGGGTCAGTCTGTCCTACCAGGGGAACTGCACAAGCCTCAGCAAAGTTTGCCTTGTTACACCCGGGGCTCGCTCTTCATCTGATGTGTTCTGATGAGCCCTGCAGGAGACCAAAATGTCAGAGAGTTTCTGGCTTTAGCTTATAAAGCAACTTTCCTGATGAACTTTACTGTACGTAAACTCGACACGCTGAAGTTTAGTGTTCTTACTGAGAAGACACAGACGCAGTGCTAAGAGAAATAACTGCTCGTAGGATCTAGCATGCGGATGGGGCTGGTGTGGTGGGAGTTGGGAGAGGAAGGAGCAGACAGATCTCCTCATAATGAGAAGCATAACGCAGCCTCTGCCGTGAAGATCGGAGCTGCAGCTTCCCAGTCATTAACAGGGACACCTTCCCCATGGCCCAGGAGCTGCGGCCCACTGCCACCGTGACCCCAGAGCAGCGGAGTCTAGACAGCACTGTGGGCTGATGGCTGTCAGTGCCTCTCAAAATGCTTCAGGACTTTCTCCTCTCCAAAGGAGATGCCTGAAGCAAACAAGTCCTCAGCATTCCAGGGAGCTTTGAGCCAGAGCCTTTCCCGAGCGACTGCCAGACTTTCGGCCAGACTCTTCAGCCAACAGTTTGGTATTGGGGTTCTTGTTGCAGAGGCATTTTTCTTAGGAAGGGAAAGTATTGGATGAATTTCTAGCATGCTTCAGACTCTTAACTGCTTGTCGGTTACTCTGGATAGAGAATGAGAACCTTAATCCAAGTGTTAGTAGTCTTCATTTGCTTTGTGCTCAGGCTGGGCTGGATGGTCTCTGAATCTCTGCATCAAAGCACAAGGGATCAGAATTGGGATGCTGTGTTGGATCAGGCTATGAGTAGTACATCTGGAGTTTTCCTGAAAGCCAGTTTATCGCTCTCCCCATTTCATCAGTTGATTGAGCCTTGGCTTTATTTGGGGCAGAAAAAATAGATAGCTGCTTGTGTAATCAATTCTATAGAAAGCATAGTTTGATTCTTGGGGTCAGCGCGGGGGATCTGTGTTATCTGAGATGGATAAGCCATGGCAATTCTTGGAACATGAAACATTAACTGTGTGCTTAATTATTTCACTAGTGGTGCTGTACTATTTTTCTTTTGTTAGCCTGATGCTAGCAAATACTATGAAGGAAAAACCAATGCAATGCAAAGGTGTTTGAGTCAGCTCTATGTTACACAGTACAAAAGGGAACACAGGCAGTGCAAGACTATGTTTGTGTTACCTGAACAACTTTTGCATTTATCATTTGCTTTTAAAAGATGAAATAAAAGAAGTTCAGAGCAACTGGGACAAGAGAAATAGTCAGGGATTTTCATTTATTTATTTATTTATTTATCTATTAATTTTTGTGGGTTTCTTATATAAGGTGGGTAGGAGTTCAAAAGATTGACTGCAGTCTCAGCCGAGCTTTTGAATAACAGCTCTTAAGCACCAGGGAAAACATTGGATAAAGTTTCTTCAATATTGTCTTTCTTACTGAGGATGTAGTATTTAAAAAAAAAGAAAAAAAAAAAAAGTCAGTGATGCTTACAAAAATT